GAAAGATTATTCAATTTCCTCTTACTTCTAACAGAAAGTAAATTAATTAATTTAAACATAGACGGTCTAATTCTGTAATATCTGTCAATATATTGTGTTCTTACTTCGTTGTAAAATGGACAAACAAGAATAAAATGCAATTCGTCCTCTATATCGCCTGAATTACACCTTAAACAAAGTCTTTCATTACGAGGTATTCTCTCATATCTGCCCCTTTCTATACGAAGGTCGTGAGAAGATAATCTAAATTTCGCAATGGTTAAAATACAAGATTCAGGAAAAGATTTACAAAGATAATACTGAAGACAATTATCCTCGGGCAGACATCTATATAAAAAACATTTCGTAGAGTTTTCAAAAAAAGTGTTCATATTTTGTATAAAAACATCACGTAGACGTAGTTTAACGTCCAATATAAATTGATTCTTACATACAACTTTCTGATCATACCAAACATATCCAAAACCTACATACCATCAGTTATAAAAAATATATTATAATCTTTGTTTATTATATTGCATGTTGCGGCCTTCACTCTAGCTGTGCCATCTGGCTGGTCTAGAATTTTCTATTGTTAAAACGTAATATAAATTCAAAGAAATATTAATATTTACATTTCCATACTAAATTGATATGATAGAGCTGCTGATTTATGTACATATGTGTATTGTAACTTTCATTTCAAAATATAAGTATCATTCATAATAATTGTTCATAAGCCTCCGATACCTTGATGATTGACTTCTTAATTAATAGGCTGCTTTAAATCAATCATAATTATAATTTATTACACCCTTACTAATTAATACGGTTTTTTTTGTATATGCGATACGACCCAATTGCTCTATCCCATATCAGCCCTCGCCGTATCACACCCCAAAACCCGTATCAGCCCCCGCCGTATCACACCCCAAATCCTGTATCAGCCCGCAAAACCCGTACCCGTACCCCTTTTGGATTTTTTTCTTATTTCAATATTTTAAAAGAAAAATAGATCATAATTATAAGTTTTTATTAGTAAGTATGTAATAAACAGAATAAAACAAGTCTTTTTCCATATCACACCCAGTATCAACCCGAGACGGCAATATCAGCCTGTTACCCAATCCCTTAAGCTTTGACAAATATACCATCCTTGTCAATAACATTTGTTGAAATGAAATGGACATCTTGTATTACCTGATCAATGTTACATACTTTTGTATGTAACAAGTGTGTATTCAGAGGAGAAAAGTTCCCAAGGCATCATGTACGTATGGTATACTTTTGCTTCATGTTTCATTAACACCTATGGTCATTTTTAAAGACTATCAAGTTTTGTTAGTTAAGGAAAACCAGAGAACCCCGAGAAGCACGGACGACCTACTGGTGACCAGTACCTGGCGACCGCCCAATGTAGGTTTTCAAGATTTTTCAAGATTTTCATTTCACTCAGACACACATAATATGTGTAACAAGAGGTCATGTATATATATAACATAGTTTGAGTGCATGACAGGCAAACATTCTATATCATAGCATGGTACATAATTATATATATACGTGTAGTTACATACAAATAATTCAGTGTTCAATTTATATAAAATGTCACTAGCAAACAAAATAAAAAAACTTATAGAATAGAGACACTGTACTTTTGTTAATTTTTGAACAAATAAGCTTACACTTTTTAATAGTTTCATATTAAAAATTGTGAACATTCCTTTCATTTTATGTTGGTTTGGACTTGTATAAAAATAGGACGGAAGATGTTTTCCCCCTTGTTTTGACTAAAGTGTCGTTATTACAAGTATATAAGTAATGAAACTCGTCCCCAATACCAGTATTAGAAAGTGGGCATATTCTGTCCTGTCTTTAAATTCTCACCCATCTTCCTGTTTCTACTGGAAGCTTTATATTTGAAGTTCTAAATTTGCAGATAATTTTCCTATCTTTTGCGTTTAATCTTATCAAATAGTCTTCTAAACCAAAGCGATATTTAAATGTAGAGTATAATCGTCCTCTGGATGAGGTGTCGATTTTATTAAACCAGGATTGAATAAACTGATCGAGTAATTTATGTATAATTCCAGCTTTTAAATAAGCAATATCGGGCAGACAGGTTTTTTGATGGATCCAAACATAGCTTAGGCCTACGCTATCCAGGATATGTTTAACATAATTCAACCATTTAAACTCGATTTGTCCATTTTCATGTAATGAGTACATCAAACCCTGGACCCAGTGGTGGAGGGCTAGTGATCATAGATGTCTTGATACCGTAACCACTCGGCCACCGTGACCATCATGTATAGAACACTAATCAATATCAATATATATATAACAAGTCATGTGGGGCCTACTGATATCCCATTTTGTACTCTAATTTCTCACATTAAAGAAATGTTTTAACATGTGAAGTCCCACACAAGATATCTATCTGTCAAAATGTCTAAGTCTGATGTCGGGGCCAGAGGAAACTTGGACTACATGTATGTGTACATGTTTATGAAGACTTAACGCCATGCAAGATAGACACTGGAACAACAATTGTATTGAGGTAAAAAAATAAAGATCTCAAGTGTTGTAATGAGAGCAGGTCAATTTTGGGCTTTTTGTCTCTGAAACCTAATTTATAGGATGCCACCTTGGTCGCCTCATGTAATCAGGCAGCGTGATGCAGCAGGCCGAATGTCACTGGAGATCCCACAAATGTACCTTTCAGTATATCACATTAATTGAAACTTTTTAATGACAAAGAAACGTATTTGGAAACATTTGTTGCGATTTTATTAAGAATGATAACAACATGGTTGCAAGGTGCAGATCAAACAAACATAGTAGTATACTTAATTTGTAATAAGAGAGGGCAAACATGTCACCACCAGCTAGATTGGTATTAAAATCTATGATCAAAGAAAGTCTAGCCAGATGTAATATAATAACAGCAGTTCACAGACTGAAGTGTTTGTAGTATACTCCTTGCCACCCCTGAAGACATGTATGTACCAAAGGGGAAGGTTTTGTTTTTGTATTTTTTAATGGCTCACCGACAATGCGAGTCATTTAGACTCAACAACACTGTTAACCCAGACATTAGCAACAATGATTACTGGATCAATGGACAGCCCACCGTACAAGTGAGGATCAAAGTCCAAATCTGCTGTACTTAGCAAACTATCCATCAAATACACATACACCACTTCTAACTGTCTGTAGTCAATCATTTATACTTCTCCCAGTCACACTTGACAGGGGGAACACTGCCCAAACATTTCAGTCTCTATAATGTAACAGTATAGCCTATCTTATTAGCTGATTTTTAATTTGTTTTAAACTCATTCACCCCTGAAGACACATTTGCACACCTCCAATTCAAAGGTTGGAATAGTTCATTACAAAATTTCAGGGGTGAATGAGTTAAGGATCCCTGTCCCACTGCAGTGTGGCTTTTCCTATATACAGTTAACTCCCTTTAACTTCTGTTTGAATATAGCTGTAGCACGTTTAGGCTAGGTCACTTCTGTTGAACACCTAGCTCAAACAGTCGGAGTGATGGTACAACAATCTGAAGTCCAGGGTTCGAATCCTGGTCAAGCCCCGATGATTTTTGTTACACTCCAAACACTGTTGTTGATTATATTTTGTTTATTTTATCTTTATTTATTCTCATAAAAGTCTCCCCACAAAGTATGGATTTCTTTTCAGTAAAGGATTTATCAAAGCTACAGCCATGTTGGAAAAAACAGTTTCCAACACTAAGTAACAGTTTTTGGCAGTGGTACGGGGATCCTTAAATATATATATTGCTTTGAGAGTCTTTATATAAAATAGCTACGTTTTAAAATACTGAAGTGTCAGGTTGAGGGAACCACTGTATAATTCAGCTTTCCTGTGTCATCATAGACTGAACCACGAGGATATCTCAAAACATTAAATATGCTTATTTGACACTGGGCCTGTAAAACAGCCCTGAAAACGCCTTCAAATTTAAAACAATGAAATCTTCTGTGCTTCTTCCACTCCAGTTCATTGAGATATCAACAACAACAAAAATAAAAATCTGGTTGAAATAAATATACAAATACAATCAAGTTAGTGAGAGAATAAAATGCTTTATACATTGTTAAAAATTGTATTTAACCAGCATTATATAAGCCCATGCCTGGTAATAAGCCCAACCAAATATTTTGTTGCAGTTTAACAGAAATGCAAACAATTGTCCTGGTATTCCGTCTTTGCGTATTGCAGAGTTATCTGCACTTGTGAGCAGGTATTGATTGTTACGTCATTTGTTTGTGAGAGTAACGTCATCAATTTTTGAGAAAATGACGCAATTTTCTCACACAAACAAATTACGTAACAATCAATACCTGCTCACAAGAGAAGATAACTCTGCAATACGCAAAGACGGAATAGGCCCATCCCCCTTATTTGAGTTAAATAATATACATGGAAACCCCAGGCGTATACAGGATATATATGGTATTGCAACACTGTATCAAGATGTCAATATATATGTAGTAACTTAAAAATAAATCATTTCTCAGAGTTTCATTTCATATTGAAGAGTTAAGGGAAAGATATATAAAGGAATTTTACTACAGAAATCCAACCGTGTTAGAATTAATAAAACTTCTGAATGTAAATAATGTCAAAGAACTATTAACACTGGTAAGTATCTATATTATGCTACGAGGAAACGTGAAAACCTTTAATGTGTTCAAGTATTTATTAATTAAGCATAGTCTTTGGTTTTTAGTAATTTAGTATTCAAGTACCGGTATTACTGATTATGTATGCATGCACAATGGTATTATTATATGTTAAAGTATTTCGTTATCACTCTCCTGATTATGTATGTAGATGTGTGTGTGTGTGTGGGGGGGGATGATGGGAGTGTGTGTAGGGGGTCGAGGGGC